AAAAAAAACAGAGAGACTTTTAATACTTTTTACTTGGGGAAAAATACATCACAAATGAAATCAGGTTTTTTAATCACCATTGAGAACAAAGAAATAGTACTACTTATCAAGAAGATATTACTAGTACTACAGGTTGAGTATCCCTTATCCAAAATGGTTGGGACCAGAAGCATTTCAGATTTGGGATTTTTTTGGACTTGGTAATATTATCAGTTGACCATCCCAAATCCAAAAATCTGAAATCCACAATGCTTCAACAAACATTTCCTTTGAGGGTTATGTCAACACTCAAAAAGTTCCAGATTTTGGAGCATTTTGGATTTCAGATTTTTGGACTTGGGATGCTCAACCTGTACTACTGCTAATAATAAATTCAGTCACTAACATTTAGTGAGTGCTCACTCTAAACTTCACATCAAACCTGTGTCCTAGGTACTTTCATTAGTCTCATTTTATAGCTGAGAAAACTGAGGCTCAAAGACAGCACTTGATCATGAAATAAAATTTTTATCTATGGTCCAAACTCTTTCAAACTATTAACACTTATTCAGAATCTTTCTAAGTTTAGGCATAACACCAACATCCTGATACAGACTTACTTGGGGCAAAATGATGATCTAACTTTTCAACTAACACATCCTCTATTTTTAGTGAAATATAAACATTTGGTCTTTTCTAAGCATGATAAAAGATAGGATTTATGAGAATTGTCTTTACCTGCTTTCTAATCGGATCTGATAACCAATTGTTTGACCAATCCTTTCCCGTCTCTCTGCAGCAACTCTTTCAGCCACAGCAATAGCTGCTAATCGTCTTGGTTGAGTACAAAATATACGGCAGGGGATACCATTTTTAAAGCAATCATCTAAAAGGAATTGAGGAATCTGAAACAAAAGTGTTAAAATACTATAAGATGACATGATTACATACCCAGAAAAATCCAAGTGAATCAAATGAAAAACCATTAAAACTAAAAAAGTTCTGCAACCTGTCCAAATACAAAATCGTAAAATCAATAATTTTCATGTAACTGGTAACAATAATCAGCTAAAAAATGTAATTTAAAAAGATCTTGTTCACAAAAGAAACTAAAACTAAAATATCTAAAATCAAATTTTTCCAAAAACATTTAAGGCTTACATGAAGAAGACTGCTGAAACTGCTGCTGAAAAACATAAAAGAAGACTTGAATATATAAAGAAATATGCTATACTCCTGGACAGGGATAATCAATATTGTAAAAATGCTTATTCTCCCCTAAATTATTCTATAAAGCCAAAGAAATGAAAATAAAATTTCCAATGGGATTTTTTAAATAGAGAAAAGCATAAAGAAAACAAAAATAGCCTATAATCCCAGGACTGCAGGTATTTTTCTACAAATAAAATTCAAACAGGATGGAAAAATTTTAAACCAAAAGTAAAAGTTTTACCTACCCATTCCCCATGACCACTACCCTTAATCTTCTCCAAAAAGTAACTATGGTTAAGTTGCTTATGAAATCTTCCATGAAAAAAAAATAGTTTACACGATTCAGAATATCTATGTATATAAGTATGTTTTTTATTCACACAAAGTGATTATTGTATTTAATGTTTGCAATTTTCAGTTTTCACTTAACATATCAGATCTACCTAACCCATTTTAACAGCTACATATTCTATCTTATGGCTATGCTGTAATTTCACAATGACTACACATGTACGTAATTTCTAGTTGTTTTAGACTTGTTATTGATATTGTTGTTTACTATTACAAAAAATGTTGCAATAAACATCTATTTCCACATACTTTTGCAAAGATACATGTACTATAAATCAAAGTGATAGTGATAATGCTGAATCAAAGAGTATATAAATTTTTTATTTAGATTAAAAGATGATCAAGTCACCCTCCAAAACAATTTATACTCCTACCAACAAAGCAGAAAGGCTATTTTCCAACATCCATACAAATACTCAGTATTATCAATTTTTTAATTTCTGCCAATCTTATATTTGAAAAATATAATTGTTTTGATTTTCATTTCTTTAACTGTGAGTAAAAGAGAACATCTTTTCATATATGTCTTAGCCCCTGGGTTTTTTAACTTTACTAGTTCATCCAGAAGCATAAATGCACAAGAACTACCAAGAAATATTTTAAAAGAGAAGATAAGCAAATTACAGAAAATCAGAGATAAAGAAAAAATCCTGAAAGCCACCAAAGGAAAAAAATGCCTTACCTATACAGGAGAAAAGATAAGAATTCCATCTGACTTCTCAGAAACCATGCATGCAAGAATAAAGTGGAGTAGAAGTGCTGAGATAAAAAACCCCACCAACCTAGAATTTTGTACCTTGCAAAATTATCCTTCAAAAATGAAGGAAAAATGAGGGCTTTCTCAGAAAATTGAGGGAATTTCAGCCAAGCACCAGTGGGTCATGCCTGTAATCCTAGCAGCCTGGGAGGCTGAGGTGGGAGGATTGCTTGAGCTCAGGAGTTCAAGATCAGCCTGAGCAAGAGCAAGATCCCATCTCTACTAAAAATAGAAAAATTAGCCGGACATCATGGCTTGAGCCTGTAGTCCCAGCTACTTGTGAGGCTGAGGCAGGACGATCGCTTGAGCCCAGCAGTTTAAGGTAGCAGTGAGCTATGGTGACACCATTGCACCATTCTACCCAGGGCGACACAGTGAGACTCTATCCCAAAAAAAAAAAAAAAAAATTGAGGGAATTTGTTGCCAGAAGACATGCCTTGCAAGAATGTTTAAAAAAAAAAAAAAAAAAGCTCTTTAGAGAAAAAGAAAATAACATTGGCCAGAAATTTGAATTTTCATAAAGAAAAGCGTTGAAGAAGGAGTAAGTGAAGGTAAAATAAAAACTTTTATTTTTCTTATTTTTAATTAATCTAACAGATAAATTTGTTTAAAATAAGGCCAGGTGCGGTGGCTCACGCCTGTAATCATAGCACTCTGGCAGGCTGAGGCGGGAGGAATGCTTGAGCTCAGGAGTTCAAGGTCAGTCTGAGCAAGAATGACAGGCTGTCTCTACATAAAAAAAAATTAAAATAAAAAATTTGTTTAAAATAACAATAGTAACAATGTATATGATTACATATGTTTAAGTATATCTGTTCTGTGTGTGTACATATGTCTGCTTATACATAACTGAAATGAGTGACAACAATGATTCAAGGGACAGGAGAGAGGAATTAGGATGATTTTGTTATTTAAGGTATTCACACTACCTGAAAGTCATATAGTTTACTTGAAAGTGGACTTGGTTTAGTTGTAAATATATATTGCAAACTTTAGGGCAACTACTAAAAAAGGTAGAAGATAATGAAGAGGAAAATTATGCTCATATTGTAAACTACAAAAAGCAAAACACAAGATCCTGGTACAGGAATAGATAATTAAAGATACATAACAAAAATTTCAGAAATAGATCCACATATTATAGGAACTTACCATTTGATGAAAAATGGCATCTTAAATCAGGGGGGAAAGGATATATTATTAACAAATAAAAGTTAAACTAGATATTAACATGAAGAGAAAAGATTTCTACCTGATATGATACAATAAAATAACTTCCACATGGACTTTTAAAACTATAAATATAAAACTATTAGAAGAAAATATGTATAGGAAAAGTTGAGTGCAGTGGTGCATGCCTGTAGTTCCAGCTACTAACGAGGCTCAGATGGGAGGATCTCTTGAGGCCAGGAGTTCAATATTGCAGGGAGCTACAATCACCCTTGTAAACAGCCACTGCACTCCAGCCTGGGCAACACAGCAAGATCCTGTCTCTTAAAAATTAAAATAAATGTTTTTAAAAAGAATAAAATATTTATAGGAAATTTTTTTTCAATCTTGGGATAGAAAAATGCCTTTCTCAGCATGGCCCAAAGCCATAAAAAGATTGATAAGTTTGACTAAACAAAAATTTAAAATTACTAAACAAGATATCACAAGCAAACTTAAAAAGTAAATAGAAAATTAGGAGAAATTAGGCCGGGCGCGGTGGCTCACCCCTGTAATCCTAGCACTCTGGGAGGCCGAGGCGGGCGGATTGTTTGAGCTCAGGAGTTCGAGACCAGCCTGAGCAAGAGCGAGACCCCTTCTCTACTAAAAAATAGAAAGAAATTAATCGGACAACTAAAAATATATATAGAAAAAATTAGCCGGGCATGGTGGCGCATGCCTGTAGTCCCAGCTACTCGGGAGGCTGAGGCAGAAGGATCGCTTGAGCCCAGGAGTGTGAGGTTGCTGTGAGCTAGGCTGACGCCACGGCACTCACTCTAGCCAGGGCAACAGAGTGAGACTCTGTCTCAAAAAAAAAAAAAAAAAGAAAATTAGGAGAAATTATTTTTAAGATGTTTAATAGTCAATAGGCATGTATCCATAATATATAAAGTGTTCTAAAAAAGAAATTCAAAATGATTAAGTCAAAAGAAAAATAGAATAAGGAACTCACAGAAGATAAACAAATAGATAAGTAAATAAAAAGATACTTAACTAAGAATTAAGGAAAGGCAAATTAAAACATTTTTGTTTATCAGCTTGAAAAAGGTGAAAAAAATTATGTCTATTCTTGCCCACTATTTAGAGAAACAGGAACTTTCAATACTATTTTACTGAAATAAAATAACTCTTTTTAGAGTTATTACACAACATCTAGTTGATCTATTAAAATTTTAACCGCCATATCCTTGATCCGGCATTTCCACTTTTAGGAATTTATCTTACTGAAACACTCCACAAACAAAGAAATATTAGGATACATAAGAAAGTAAGTACAATGTAAGAGTAAGATTCCTGCTCTGCCACTTCCTCACTATATTAACGAGGGTAGATTAACATCCTTGAATTTTAGTGTTTATTTCTCATTTGTAAAAACAGATAATAAAACCTACATGTCTTGGGGTTATTGAGAAGCTGAAATGAGACAACCCTTATAAAAATTCAGCATGCAATAAACCCAATTTTCATCACTGTTTTTCATATCATTACAAAAATGTTCAGGAATACTATGCAGTTGCTTAAAGAATGAGGTATCTAGGCACTGACATGAAAAATATCCAATATCTGGCAAGTGAAAAAAGCAAATGCAAAATGTATGTATGCTATTATCCACATTTGTTTTTAAAAATAAATATAAAAATGCTGTAAAGAGAACAAAAACAAAACACACAACCCCCACAAATATAAATTCCACAAATATATATTCCAAGTTTCTGACAATAATGCAGGGGGAAAGAGTAGCAGGAGAATTAAAAATCTTTCACTTTCTATGTAATATTTTCCATAATGTTCAAGTTTTACATAATGAACGTGAATAAGAAAAAAAATTGAAAAAGCACTTAACTTTATAATACCATTAAAGGCAAGATGAAACTGGCTAATGATACTACTTTAACTGTTTTATTTTATATTTCACAGAACAGAAATATTAGTATTTTACTTTAACTCCTTAAACAAGATACCCACTAGATTAATAGTATTTTCTTGAAAAACAGAGTTTAAAATATTTAACTACTAATTAAATTCTCAAGTATTCTTTCATATTTAGTAAAATGATACACATAATTGTGAAAATAGGCATCCATAATTCCAATATACAAATATCATTAGCAAAGACATTCAAATAATTTAAATAAAAACATATTTATTATATTTTATTGAAACTTCCATAATCTCTATTCAATATAATTTAAATTTCTGTAATTAACACCTAATGACAAAATTTACTCATACTAAAACAATTATAACAATCTAAGACATCTGAACTCCAGCTTTTCAGAAGTGAATTTCACTTAATCATAAAAGGACTCATGCTGAAGAAAAATATTACATATTATCTTCAGATAAAAACTTTTAATTATTTAGTTTTACAGGTTCAAGTTTTAAGCATAAAGAGTTACATTTCTATAAAAATGTTTAAGTCCTACTAGTAAGTAACTTAGAAAGTGTTTGTTAATCTCTCTCACCACCTTGCATTGCCTATTGACTAAGTTTATTAAACCAACCAATGTAACCATAGGAAATCTTAAGCAATTGTCAAAAGCAAATTGTGTCCATAAAAGAAGAAAATGTATAAATACATTGACTATTTAATCTGAACCTCTATCAAAAGCAAAGTAAATTTAGTACTGATGCTGAAATGCGGCAAGTTAGAGAACATAAACAAGAAATGGTCACATTGTGTCACACGTACTACTTCCAATTTGTTGCCCTATGAGTAAAACTTCATGATAACGAGGTACTTTGATTCTAAATATCCACATTATATCATATCGTACTAATTTCATTCCACAGTCAACTGTATATTAATAATTGTTGTTATTGCTTTACTTTGCTCCTATGTGCAAAACCCTATGCTAGGCATGTATAGAGTTTATCTCTAAATCTCACCTTGAAAGATAGTAATTATCGGCCCCATTTTATAAATGAGGATGACAGCCCACAGAGGTTACAAAACTGTCCTAAAACTTAACCTCCAACAAGTGAGGAAACTGGAATTTGAACCCAAGGCCAAAGCCCATGTTCCATCCATGATACCATCCATGATCCTCCTCTGTTTAAAAAAAGGCCAAATGCACTAGTTTAAAAATAAATAATTTAAAACATTTCCTTTCTGCAAATTCTCAAAATGTACTCCCAGTAGTAAATTATTTTTAAATAACCATTATTAAAATAAACATAAGTTTCTTGTTTCTTTTTATGTTTTTAACACATGTAGTATAAATTCAATATAAAACTACAATATGGGATAAAATTTTTTTTTCTTCTATAAACAACAAAAAAGAAACAAACCTGTGTGGTCTTTCCAGAACCAGTTTCTCCTACAATCAAAACTACTTTATTTTCCTTTATTATTTTAACAATTTCTTCTTGTTTCTCAAACACTGGTAAAGACTGCCTAAAAGAATCAAATTCAGATTCTCCTCTTTTCACTGGAATCTGAGGTATGCCATTGTTGAGTCGCCCACTTGTCTTGCTCATTTCCCGGTTTTCTTTGAAAATGAGTAAAGAACAAAAAATGTATGATCAACATTGAAAAAGTGTTAAAAATAAAGATAAGTAATTTCTAATGTCATGTCTTTCAACACTCAGTCTATATAAAGTTAGCAGGCAATTATCTCAACTGTTGTATTCCTACACTTACCATTCTTATGGAATACGTTACATATTTCAGTACCAATTAGAAAGCAAACCTCTCAGAGGTATTTCTCGTGCATAATGTTTAAAAATGAATAAAAATTAATAATTCAACAGCTATTAAAAACAAACAATTCTGATAAACAAAATGATTTTCAGGCTTGCTATAAGTTTCTATCAGTAATGTCACAGAAAATTCAAAGTTTATAGTAGGAAATAACATGCATTACACTTCTAAGATCTGTTATAATACATACAATACAGAAACACATTAAAAAAAGAAAATAACCCATATGTGTTTAAGTTATACATGTAAGATTAAGTGATCAAATAAAACAATATGTGTCAATAAAGTCCTAATGCTTAACAAATTTCCTAATTGAGTATTTTAGCCAACATCCATATTTAACTAAACAGGCAGAAATAAAGAAGAGGCATGATCTTCATAACTCAAAATATTTTTGTGTGCCTATATTTAAATTTTAAGTTCTCTGATTTTTTTTTTTTTTCTTATTGCAAAGTATTTGTTCTGGTCATATAAAGTTTAAGTTCTTTGAAAGGATCACATATTTTCTATATTCTGCCAACCTAGTCCAATAGACAATTATAATTATGCAAAGTCCATCACCACAGGCAATAAAATAGTTTTCTCACTAGGGACACAATTTTCCCATATAGTAAAATTACCACTTCATTGTTTAATCTAAATATATTATTTATCTACCTTTGAGCAATTTAATACACTGAAGACTCTATCCTGTCTCTTACCAGAAGCTAAAACCCCAATTCAAAATCTCATTCATTAGTGTGCCATGGCAGCGTAATATAGGAAAGTCCAGAACTTGGAGTCAAATCCCAGCTCTGCAGTTTACTGGCTGGATGAGTGGCCTTGAACAAATTATTTAACTCCTCTCAGCCTCAGTTTCTTCACCTGTGAAATAGAGGAAATTCTTACCTTGCAAAGGTTGCTATGAGGCCCTATGAGGGTTTAGTATACTGCCTAGCACACAGTAAGTGCTCAATAAATGGTAGCTATTATTATAACACTTAAAAAAAAGACTTGGTTCAACTCCATGACATGCCCGAACACTGTGTTTTGTTCCAAAATTTTCACAACTCTTAATTATTTCTAACAAACTGTTAAATTGAGAAATCTTATTTCATCTTAGTTTTTAAAAATAAATCTAAAATGGAAAAAGAACAATCATCAAATAATAGGGTAGACAGGGAAGCTCCCAGAAAATACATACCAGCTTCAACTGCAAACACATTTCCTCTTTCTGTCTTAGGCAGAAGTTCAGTATGCTCTTTATTGGTCACAGGAAATCTTTGAATTAGGCTCCTAACAGCATGTTTTGTATTATGAGTCAAATTACAGGTCATCATTGCATGAGCTGTTTCTGATCCATCTTTCTTCTTCACAGTTAGGTATCTATTTGCTCCCTTTCTGAATATTAATAAAAATCATTTATTTACTATATATAGTCAACCTGTTCACACATGACGTATGTCTACTTAGAAAATACGTCTCAAGTAAAACACTGAAAAAAATCAAAATGCTTTGGGATAAGATGCTGAAAGTCCCAAAAAATTCAGTAAAGAGAGGTTTGGGCTAAAGTGGCCAGAAGACTATTCTCAATTAAAATCTCAAAAGAGCTGCAAATCTTAATTTAATCAGCAAAAAAGGCTTACTTACCCATAAGTGTTAAAGTTTGTCTTTAGCAGAATTCATGGTAGATGAAACATCACCAGCTAACACATGCTGGGAAGCATACAGAGGGGAAAAAATAATGTGAACAATAGAACCTAAAAATGACAATGAAAAAGTTATGGTTCACTGTTCAGACTGATATGTCCCCATTGAATGTTTCCACAGTATGTTGGTAATGTCACACTCCCAAGAAAACCTGTTAAAAGAGCCAAGTTTAGTGGCTGGACCAAAAAAGCATAGATCAGATTTCTGGTAACTATTTTCAGATGCATTTTTTTTAAATCAAAGGAATTTTTCAGAGCTTCTGGTTCTACCCTTCAATTATAAGGTAATGATGATTTATAACTGTCCTAGTTATTTGCTGTAGGTATATTTGTATCTTCAACTGGTCCGGGACTGAGCATGTCTTTTATAATCTTTGTAAGTCCAAGAGTACCAGGTATAATGTTATATGAACAGGAAGTCCCAAATGTGTTTTGAATAATTTAGTAACAAACACTTATAATCCAGCAATGTAGTAGTGGTTAAAGCTCAGAGACCTGCATCTGAATCCCGCCTCTACCACTTACTAGCTGTGGGACCATACACAAATTATTTAATGGCTGTGAGCCTAAGATAATAACAATACCTACCTCAAAGGATCATTGATATAAGTAAGATAATACAGTATCTATCACAGAGTAGACTCTAAATAAATGAAAACTGTTATTGTAATTATAGTCAGAAAAAAATTCTTTCTTAAATTTAAAGAAGTTACCAAAATATTCTATAAAATGTTTTACCATTTAATATCACTATCATATTATAGAAATGAGCAACATAACCACAAATACAAAAAATTACATGTATAATTTTATAATTTTCATTAGATATAAATTTTGTCAACAAAATCTTCACTATAAGAATGATACTAAACTGGGATTAACCTACAGTTTTAGCATTTAAGTCTTCTAAGGCAGGCTTTCAATTTATCAAGATTTTTAATTTCTGGAAACTCCTCATTAAATGCTTTAATGAATTATAAGCTTTCTATGCTATCATCTACTCCTTAACAAGTGCTTAGTGATGCTTAAAATGATGCTATAAAGATGAAATAGTTAAAATTTAACCTGATTCAGAAATTTTAGTTATTTCCATGATAAATCAAAATTATTAGATTCTACAAATGTTCTCTGTGGTCGTTCTTTTCCCATGGACCCTTCTGAAACTTCAGGACAGTCATTATAGACTCAATCATTCATTCTCCTTCTGTAACACTCACTTCATAAAATTTTAACTACAGAAAGCAGAAAGTATGCTGAAATGAGCATTAGAGCAAAAGTCAGAGGGCTAGTGTTCAGCTAGTAATAACCTTTCAACTAGTTATATGATCAAAACTAAATCATTTTACTTCTCTAACACTGTATACTGGTTAATTTAAAAGACTTCAGTATTTCTAAGAGCTCCAAAATGCTTTAATTTTCTTAAAAATCATCTTGGAAAGATTTTGCTATATTTCACCTTTTTCTTTTATTTATTCATTCATTCAATCATTCATCATATGTAAATTGAGCACCTACTGTACGCCAGGCACTATGGTAGAAACTGGGATTACAGAGTTTAGTAAAACATATTCTCTTTCCTCAACTAAGCTCATAACTAAAATAATGGGTCAGATCGAAACCTTCCTAACAGAGGTTGCCTAATATAGCGTTTATGTATAAAAATATACTCACAATAAGCAGGTTTGAGTATTTAGCCGTTACCATTTAAAATTTACTGAATTCAATTTGAACACAGATGGTAGGGCAGAAAGATAACAACTTAATAGCGTTTATGTTTCAGTAAAAGAGTCTACTTTGGCTATTCCTGCTCATTCCTACCACATTCGGCACCACAGTGACAATGCTATCATAAAAGAATAAACGACATTTTTAGTAAACTATTTATCTCATGTTGTGAGGAATGAAACATTCAGAAGAGATACGTCCTACCATTTAAACTAACACACTGAGATCTCCTTATCATGCTTTCATTCCAAGGTAATTAAAAACTATGCTGTGATGGAAAACAGATGAATCTCCTTTACAAAGCAAAATTACAAACTAGCTGCACATATGGAAAAGACGCTAGTTAAGTAAAATTCACAAGAATTTTTTAAAAATAATAAACACAAACCCAAATGCAACTTTTAAGTATAAAAGTAAATGTAATAAAATTACAGGTAGGAACATCATAACCTCTAACTTTCAAAGGGTAAAAGTAACCAATGCATGCTATAATAAATTTTGGCATTTCCATGACTTTTTCCTTTTAAAGAAAAATGATATAAATAATCAAATTTGATGCAATTCCAATATTAATCAATTTATCAATTTAAAAAGCATGTTACGGAACATTTAGCTCAGACATAATGCCTCAATATTCCCTACTCCCCAAGTCTGACTACTTAAAAAACTCAAAGCTACCAAAGAGCTAATGTCTCAAAAAAAAAAAAAAATAGGCATTCATTTGATGCCTACCAAATACTTAATTCCATATCCCTTTAATTTATATTTTCGTTAGGCAGACAGATGAAAAGATCTAGCTCTGAACCATTTTCTCCCCCAATACTATAATACAGAATTACAAATTTATTAAAGTTTGCATCATACTAATTTGCATTTTATGATTACCTAAAAACTAATTTATGTTGTCACTAAATAGAACATAGTTGCTTTCATGTCATGATTACTATTGTCTATGGTAAATCTGTTCTTTTTCTGGTCTTAATTAACCATAAGCAACTTGGAGATGAGACCTATCTAATATTTCTGTTCTAACTCCTTACAGCACCTAGTACATTGCTATGAACTCACTGTGAAGATCAGAAATTAATTAGCTAAACAACTGTATTCAAATCCTGGGTCTGCCACTTGCTAGCTGTGTGATCTCGGGAAAATTTACTTAACTAGGCTTTAGTTGTCTCATCTGTTATACGGGTACCAAATATTAATAACAGAATCTACGTTATAAAACTGTTGCTAGGATTAAATGATAATCTATTTAAAGTTCCTAGCACAATGCCTGTTGCACAACAGCACTTAATAAATGTTAGCTTCTTCTTCTAGAAGGAATGCAGCCCTGCTGACAGCTTGATTTTATTAGCCCATGGGACCTATGTTGGACTTCTGACCTCTAGAACTGTAAGATAATAAACTTTTGTTGTTTTAGCCACTAAAAACAAAAAAAGTTAGCTCCTGTTATTATTGGACACAGCAGTGTTTATTTTTCAACAGATGTCCAAAAATTCACTAAGAGAGTTCATTACCTTAAAGCCATTTTTCCTGTTTTAGCTGGGGAAAGAGAAGGAAAATGCAGTATGTAACTTCCCAAAGCAGGAGGTAAGTGAGGCAGTAACCCAAATCAGAAAAGGGGAGCTTCCTGGTAGGTTGGAGCCTTCTCGTCAGGGTGAGTGGCGTACTTCAGTATCTATTAAGCAGTGACTTTAGCAGTCACAGAACAAGAAATCTGTACTTGGAAAAATCTACTTTCATATACATTGTACTTTCTCATTCCACAAATGTTTAACAAAGTTCATTCTGTAAATTGCATTTTGTCTAACTTGGACTAAGAAAAATAGAAAAGAGATTTTGTTTTGGTCATGAACAAGCCAAAGACTCAGAAAAGTGTACTCTTAGGACCCAAACAGAGTGACCTCAGTTGAGAAAAAAAAGTAAACGAATTATGAGGTGAAATTTTTGTTATGTGAAATCTGACTAGAATTTCAAAGACAACTTTAGGATATACTAAAGATCACAAAATGGGGGTGTTATGCCAAGAAGAATGTTTCACTAAAAGATGAATAATTATAAAAAAAAAAAAAAAAAAAGAACCAAAACCAAAGTAAATTCAACTCTTCAGGAGAAGATGAAAAATAAAATCCATCACAAATGGTTTCATTTTGAAATAAACAGTATCAAAAAGGAAAAATTAATCAGAAAAAGATTATAAATTATCATCTAGAAAGTTTGGAATCTATTTTTAAAAACCTTACATGAAGCCCAAAATAAACTATAGAATCTTAACTAAAACAAAGAGATTAGCCCCTTTCTACTTTACATTTAAGAAAACAGGCCTTCAAAGTGGAGAGACTTGATCAAAGCTGGAGAATGAGACAATGAGAGACTAAGAGTAGAATCCAGACTTTCTGTTCTTTACTCCACACCAGGTGGCCTCTCAAGTATGTACTAAGGAACCATTATACCAGGCACACACACACACACACAGAGATTGCTAAATCAATGAAGTTAATGCTAGGAGATTTAAAAAAGAAAACAATCTTTGCCAAAGAGTAAACAGAAAAGCCCATGACAGTCAGTACAAATTCTCATATAAATGAAAAGAAAGGCTTTGAGAAGTACATTCAAAAAGATCTAGTTCTTTATATGAAAAGAAGGAAAATCATTTGAGAATCACAAGGACCACTAAATAAACATTGTACAAAGTTTGCTCAAAGATGCAAAGGGGAGGGAAGAAGCTAGGATATTTCATAAGAGGAGGGTTTGGGAGCATGAAGGTTATAGGTATTAAGGACTAGATAAGTAGGCAGGATCACCTGGTTTCCCTTAGTATCTCTCCTTTTTCCTCTCTCTCTCTCTCTCTCTCTCTCTCTCTCTCTTTCTCTCTGGCTCTTTAATGTTTCCTCATCACCCTTTTTTGTCCTGGTAACTTCTTTCTTGATCTCTCCTTCCCCAGGTAGTTCTCCATTCTGGATCATCCCTTAAATGACTATGTTACTGAACAGAAATAAAGTAGTCTATTCTAATGGACTGCTTTTCTAAGAGTAATTTCTAATAATCATTTTAAGTCAGCTGTTTGGAATTCAAGACCCATTTAATCACAGAAATGATGTAGCTACAGAACTGTACATTTATAAAAGGTGTTTTCCAGTGCAGGCCCAAAACCTCTTGTCTGCAACTCTTAACCCCAAACAGCAGTGAAAACTGGAATTTTTTTCATAAGTCTGCAGTAACCTTATTTATCAGCAAAATCTAATTAAACTGACATGAGCTTATTAATCGTCTTTATCTTCATGTGAGCAGTCATACACTTTCCAGCAAAAATATTAATGTGACCAAAAGTGATGCCCATAACTTATTAGGGGTATTACATAACATATTGCAAATACGCCCTTATACCTTTCTAAACTCTGAAAATCTCAATCTCATGTATGTGGCCCAGCTGTTTCTGGATAAAGTATTGTGGCTCCGCATTATATTTTTATATTCAAGTTCAGCATTTTACTTACGTAGTGGACTATAATACAGGTATGCTCAGGAATCTAACCACTGTTCCAGACTGGCTTTAGTGGTATTCAAAATGTACATTAAGCTAAATTCCCTGTCTCAGTGAATAATACATCACTGTAATGGGCATTCATGTGCAAGATATTTCCACATCCACTACTTTCATCTTAGGACACTCTTATGTATTTATTAATATTTTTACTTAATAAAGTTTTGTTTTCCCTCTTCTTAACCTAAAAGCAGGTAAGCTGAAATTTTATCTTTTTTTCCCTCTATATCAGTGGTTCTCAACCGGGGTAATTTTTTCGCCAGGGAACATCTGGCCATGTCTAGAGGCATTTTTGGCTGTCACAACTGGGGTTGGGAGTGTTAGTGGCATATATTTATTGTCAGATGCTGTTAAATATCCTACAATACACAAAATAGAATAAAGAATTATCCAGCACAAAATTTAAATAGGAAGAATATTGAGGAACCTTACTTTACATTGATTCCACCATTCTTATTCACAAAATGAAATAGCTCCACAGAATTTTAGAGTTTTCCCATTTAGATGACTCAATCACCTTTCCCCATTTATAGATCAGCAACCCTCCAAAAAAAAAATACTGTTTCTCCCTGTTCCACTTTATCATTTCTAATTATTAGATTCTTGACTTGGTAGGAAAGAAAATAATGGACATATGTTCTAAAGCTTACCATTACAAGATAGTAACAGTAAAAGAGATACGTACTGTAAATAATTGTACTTATTATCTTTTGTACATCCATTCTTCATAAAGAGATTCAGTTTTCAACAAAAATGAAAATATTTTTCTCAATCATTTAAACTTTAAAAAATCTAAACTATTTTTTCTTACATTGTAAAATTTACCTTCTACAGGTAAGGAGTTCAGAGTATGCCACCCCAAACTATGTCATCCTGGCGTAAGGATTATTTTGAGCTGAAGGCAACTGAGAAAAAGCAGACACAAGAAAAACTCTCTGTCCTCCCCCTCTTTACCAGGAAGGGCAGGACTATTCTTAACCATGGAGACCAATCTAGATTTTTATGAACAGAGAGAAAGCACCAGAGGAAACTACATAACCAACTTTGCTAAACAACCCATATCTTCCATTAGTTTCCCCATATATTTACCTTCCCACAATCTGCAGCACCTAGAAGCTCAAAGAAAGCTTTTTCTTTCTCTTGTCACTTTTTTACAAATTTATTGTTTATTAAGAAGCTTGTTGTTGTTTATTAAGATCCAAATTTGAGTCACTCAGCACTAAGGTCACCCCTGTGTATGTGGATGCACATTTTAATAAACTTGTTTGTTTTTCTCTTGTTAATCTGTCTTTCATCAGTTTAATTTGCAAGGTCCCAGCCAATGAACCTAAGCTGGGTAGAGGAGAGCTTTTTGCAGGGGTGAGGTGGAAGGACAGAAGGAAGAAGAAAGAGTTGAATCTGGTATAGACCTGAATCAGTTTACCTACATACAATATAATTAAGAACGTGAAGCTAAAACAGTAATAGCTATTTAAATGTAGTCAGAAAATTTTCCTTTTTTGGTAAACAATCTTTTTTGAAGTAAGAAAAGCTATCAGCTTACCCTTTACTTTTAGAGACCAAACCAAGAGACTGACTCAATCGATGAATAAAGGCTCTTTCAGTACTGGTCAAAGAAGAAGGAAATTCCATTTCTACATGGAAAAAAAAAAACACAGTAGTACCATTTGTAGATAAACAATTTCCCTTCAAGTAATAAACACATAAAATGTGAAAAAACATGTATGTAAAAAAATGTATTATACTTTATGTGAATAGTGAATAACTTATGTTTTATACTTCATATCTTTTATGTAAAAGTTAATAAAATATATTTTATTAATTCAGTAACTACTGGATATCTACCAGAATTCTGATATTAATAAAAAGACATCTAGGTATTAAACCTAAACGTTATAAAGGACTCTGATGTTCACTAAAGACAACTACCTCTTATTTATGTTGAAATCTTGAGTTGTATAATGACTGAACATATTAGTCCTCAATTAACAAAATGTTTATTTGCTCCAGTGACAAGGTATGCTCAACATGAAACGCCACTGTTTTTGCTTTCAAACCTGTGTAAAATTCATATTTCACTATTTCAGACTGGATTTGTTATTTTGTAGCAGTTGTTATTACACTGCTAAGGATCTACCTTCGTTTAATATAAGTTCAGAATCACTGTATTCAAGTCATTCCCCGTTTTGGACTGTAAGCTTCCGGAGTAGCACGTCCCATATTCAGCCAGCAGGCTGGAATGAGCACTCAATATACCGTACGGATCTCCACAGGTCACCTGCTGGTTTTGCATTAGGTGACCCAAGATAAGCTTTCTAAGCTTAAGAGGTGTGGAAGACGCTTCATATGCCAAGACAAATTTAATTTATGTAAGTGCTTGGTGTGACACTCCTAGGATTGAAACAAAGCACCACACAATGCCAGAGCATTTACTTATCTGTTTGATATCCTTCTGCTCTTCTATTTCTGTAGTTTAAACGTGCCTCAATTAAGACTACACCCCGACTTAAAAAAAAAAAGAAAAATTCTTTTTAAGGATAGGCGCTCACTGATACCTAAAAAAAATGAGGTATTGGGCTTAGCTGCCCAAGGCTGCTGAAGGACCTGCGAAAAGAAAAATTTCCCGCTTGAGAGCAACGGGACCTTTTCGCCTTCAGACGCCAGGCAAGCGCCCCGGAACACCGCCGATCCGCAGAACAGCTTGCGGTTCTTCACAACCCATGGAAGGGTCAACGACCGCGCCCCAGGCCCGGCTCCCACCTCTGAGGCCCCCGGGAGGGCCCCCCAGGTCTTCCCTCCCTCCCTCTTCTGAGGCGGACCCTTCACTCGGTGAGTGCGGGTTTGGTGGGCGTGGGTCGGAGACCCGGGTGGGGACGGCCGGCAGGGTCCCTGTTAGGAACCTCACCTCTCTGGTCCCCGTATCGGAAGCGCTCCAGGGCGATATTAACTGCGATCTTCACCTCCTCATCAATACGAATGTCCTTCAGCCCCTTGGCCCGGCCGCCGCCCCCAGGGCCACACGGCGCCGGGCCGCCCCCTCCGCCTCCGCTCCCGCCGCCGCCGCCGCCGCCGCCGCCACCGGCAGGAGCTGGCGGCCGCGGGGAGACGCTGCTCGGCCTGGACATGGCCCTGAGAAGATGTTCTCCCCGCGCGGGAGCGGCCAGACCTGCCGACTGACAGCGAATAACAGGGATCGTGGGTCTCGGAGGCCACTGCCGACGGCTCCGCGGGCGGCCTACGCTGGGCGGGGGTCACCAAAAAGCCCCAGTCACCGCCAAGCTAGAGACGCACCGGCGCCACTAAAAGCCCCGGCGAGGCGGAGAGCGCGGGCGTGATGACGTCACCAGGGCCGCCGGCGCACGTGACCTCGGCACGTTGGCCGCTGACAGAAGCGGCCTCTGAAGCTGGTTAGAGGCCCCCAGCGGAGCTGATGCTCTACGTCCTCCTGCACCCCCTGCCAAGGGCCTCTCGGTCATCCTTTTATTCCATCACTCATTAGCTCTTTTAATTCCTCTTAGTTCCTTCAGTAAGCATGTTTGGGCTCCTACTATGTGCCTGGCACTATGCTATGCCCTGTATGTACATTAAGGAACCAGACAGACAAGGTTCCTGCCTTCATGGAGTTCATACTCTAGTAGAAGTAGGGTTGCCAGATATAGCAAATGAAAATACAGGATGCCCAATGAATTTGTGTTTCAGATAAAGAATAATTTTTTAGTATATATGTTTACCATGCAATATTTGGGAGCAGATCATAAAAAATTATTCATTGTCTGAAATTTAAATTTAACTGAGCATCTGTATTTTATTTGGCAACCCTAGATAGGGTAACGGACAATAAACGAGTAAATGATTAAATGCTGGTTGTAAGTGCTATATGATATGACGGAATAAGGAGGTGGGCCCCTGCAGGAAGAGTTACGAGAACTTCCACTGCTTACACACAATCTCACTACCAGAAGTCTAATTCCAACCACCCTAACTGCTTCTACTGTGGTCTACTTATTAATATAATGATTCTCCAGAGAGCAACAAGAGTGATCATTAAAAAAAAGCCAGATAGGATTACACCTGGACATAAAATCCCTCAATTACTCTCCATTGCATCTAGGATAAACCCGGAATTCCTTACCATGACCTTCAAGACCCTGCCTGATCTGGCCTCTGCCTATCTCCATGATCTTATCTCCTACCACTCTCACCCTCACTTACAATGCTCAAATGGACAAATTTCTTTCTGTCTATTTAATACACCAAGCTCCTTACCATCTGGGGAATTTTCCACTTGGATAGTTTTCTCCTGTGCAAAACAATCTCTCTCCCAGAACTTCACGTGGATGCCTCTTTCTTACCATCTAAAGTAAGATTCCATTCCTTACCTAGACAGAATCTCTCATTTCAATCTGTTGTCATTTACCAATGTTTGAAATTATTTTATTTATTATTAATATTTGCTCTTCCCACTAGGAAATAAGCTCCTCAAGAGCAGAAACCGTGTTTATCTTGTCACTGTTTCATCAGTACCTAGAACTGAGAAGGCACGCAATAAATATTTTAGAATCTAAAATTAGGATCGGACATCTCTGCTCTCAGAAAACTTTCATATAATCTTTGAGTCCTGATGTCTTTGGTTGACTACTAGAAAGAGTCCTGGACAAGTCCTATATTCTGGCCCTGGCTAAAACGGCAAGAATAACTAGCACTGAAGATAGAATATCCTAATTTCCAGAAGATGTATTACAGACTTTATAAGAAATCAGAAAGTAAGCCACAGAGAACAATTATCTCCTTCACTGAAGCTGACATAGAAAAGACTATACAACCCCTGTGTATCTGTATAGAATTGGATGGGCAACTCAGCATCAGTTTAAGAGTTATTGTCATCCTGCCATGTTAATTAGTCACTTTCTTACAGTGTTTGACAGGATATCATAGTGATAAATAATGATAATTTGGAAACTAAAAAACAAAACCAACCCAACAAACATAAATACATAAATACTCAGATTTTTATTTGTTTTAGAGACTGAGGTGGAAAAAAATGTGTTTTAAATTGGAAACTTAAATCTATTCACTACATTTAAGTTTTGATGTTTTCCCTCTGACTTCATTATTTACATATCAAAAATATTTTCAGATAATAATAATATTAATAATAAAATTGTGTCTAGCTCTAATTAGACAATATGATTTGATTGATTGGGAAAAACCTAGCTGCTCCTTGACTTGAAAAAATCATTTAATCTCTCTAGATTAGTGTCTCCCAAACTTTTTTACTTCATGGCACGCATAGAAAATGATATTTGCATGGCACGTTGGGTACGGCAAAGAATGCTAGTGTTCATAAATTTCCATGTTTCTCCTCTTCATCCTGAGCACAACACTAGACCACATTTCTTTCATATTCCCCCGCAATTCTGCCCCTATTTTCTGGTTGGAATTGTGAAGCCATATGGTGAGTTCTGGTAATGGAATGTGGACAGAAGTGATGTACACTGTAATTCTCCCTCTTCTCTGGATTGCAGCCAGATGTTGGATGAAGAAATTACAAATAAAAAAAGGAGGAGAGCTAGAATGAGTTCTGTGGTGTTGGATTGGAACTAACAGTATCACGAACTTATGGATATATATATATATATATATATATATATGCACACACAGATAGATAGCTAACATAGAAATAAAAATAGATGTATAGGTATGTATATGTGAGTGTAAGTACTGAGAGGGCTCAGAAGCAATGACACCCCAATATCAATGAGTACATCTAGCACCCAAATCTTAGTTTCAAAATACCATTCTCCAATAACAGAAACCAGGCTCCCTAGAGGAAAGGTTGATTTTAGGGCTGGGACAGGGAAAAGACAAGATAAGCCTGGAACATATTGAGGTGTCAAAAAGTAAGGACTTGCCTAAAACAGAATAAAAACTTGTCAAAAGATCACAAGAGCTTAACTCAAGTCGCTCGTAAGGGCCAAACCTGGAACAATTTGAGGAACAAAATAAATAAAGACGGTATTGAATTATAATCCAAAGAATAAAATAAGCATCCATAAGCCCATAGTGATATTAATGCATAATTGAATGAATAAATAAATGAGAGAAAGGACAACTTGTCCTCACATAAGTTCTAATTAATAAATGCAGGAGGAATGATGAAAACAGAAAATCACCATCAGGAAACAACAGTCATAATCGTTGCAGACAAGAATCACTAATGGATGCTAAAATTATTTTCCTAGCCTAAGAATATTTCTCTACCAGATACTCATTAATTACAAAGGGAACATGTCGACTTTACAATGGAAAAATTTGGCAGATACCACTGTAACAAGGTGATCAAGTTAACATCACTAGTAATAAGGTACATCAACAACATCATTTCTGTGGTATGCTTGTCAAAAATACAAAACCTCAATCTAATAATGACAATCAGACAAACACAAAAGCCTATTCAGGGGCATCCCATAATTACTATAGACCAGTGAGTGCTGCTGTGTGTCTTACATTTCTCCCTTTTCTAAATGGGAAACTTTAATGCAAGTATGGTACTCCATCACATCATATAGGGTAGCTGAGTATGTAGTACATATTTACATAGTACGTAGGTTATCTGACCATGAGGGAACACATCTGGACCTAATAATAAGAACTGTGTATCAACAACAGATTCTGGATGCAGTGACTAAATAGAACTTTCGACGTCTCTGGGAGAGTGTATATGTATCCCATGTGTAGTGAGAAGGGGACTAAATGATATTTGGTGACCAGAAGTATGAACTGTGGCAAAGAATACTACTGCTCACCAAAAAATGTGTTTCTCTTCTTGGGCATTATGATAATATTTCCCAACCCCCTTGCACTTAGCTGGGGGCCACATGACTGAGTTCTGGCCATTGGAATCTGGCTAGAACTGATGAACACCACTTCTAGGCTTGATCTCTAAAACCTTTCTTGGATCTTCCATTCTTTGCCTTTCCTGCTTGGCTGGAAGTTCTTAGACAATGGTAGAGCCACTAGATAGAAGGGTTCTGGTTCCCTAGTAAGTGTGATAAAGAGTCTCCTCACCAACTTACACTGGACTACAACATGGGTAAGAAATAATCTTTGGTTGTGGTAAGCCCCTGAGATTTGGGGAAGTGTTTGTTATAACAATATGGTAGATTGCTACTTTAATGGCCTCTGATGAATAATACTTTCCTGCATTCACACCCTTATATACTTCTCCCCCCCACTAGCTCTGTCCTTGGCCATATAACTTGCTCGGGCCATGGGGACATCAGCAAATATAACATAAGCAGAGGCTTGAAAGGTGTTTGTATATTAGGGTGTACCCTCTCTTGTTTGCTGGGACCTCTGCTTCCACAAAGCAAATAAGCTTAGGGTAGCCTGCTGAAAACATATAACCCAACCATCAGCTAGCACCAACTGCTAGACATGTGAAAGAGGCCATATTGGAAAGTCTAGCTTCAGCCAAGCTGCCAGATCACTGCAGCTACATAAGTGACCCAAGGCAAGATCAGCAGAAGAACCTCCTAGCTAAATACAGCCCAAGTTGTCAACCCACAGAACACATGAGCAAATAAAATGTATATTGCTTTAAGCCACTGAGTTTTAGGTTGGGTTTGTTACAAAGTCATAATTGACACACCCAGCTAGCTAATTCTGACTGCTATATTGAGATAGAGATAAGGCTAATCTTGGCCAGAAGCAGCTGGGCCAAGAGAACTGTCTTCAACAGTTCCAGTTCCTACCCAGCTGCCCAAGGACTGGAGTCATCAATATCTTGACCTACCTGTGAACAACTTGTGGCATACCAGCATGACACAGCACAGTGGTCTGGAAACTGCTCTAGGTTCTCTCGTCATCTCTAAAATTGGCTTGGTAGAGTAATATACCTTTAAAATATAACCAATATGTTTTTATTATTGCTGTTATGAATATTTCCTTCCACTCTTTCTCTCTTCACCCTTTCTCTCTTGTCAGCCAGATCACTTAGGGTCTATTGTTTTGGGGAAGGAATATTGTTTTAAGTTGCTTTCAGTTCCCTGGACCTTGAGGAGAGGAAGATGTCACATATTAATATACCAGTGAGTCACTAAAAAGGATCCTGAGCCCTGCTTCT